GGGTAGGGGTAGGGGTAGGGGTAGGGGTAGGGGTAGGGGTAGGGTTAGAGTTAGGCCTCTTCTTTATTGTGTTTGATGGGGTGGTCGTTCGTTACGGAAGCCCTTCCATGATTCCCCTTCACTGTCCTGCTCATCTTTTGATACAGTTCCGATCCACACAAAAAACCCAGCCCCACTACAAAACAAAAACAAACAAAAAAACCCGGACTGAGCTGGCAAACGGCTTTATCAAAACTAATGGGCTATTTACGAGGCAGGACCTCTGTAACGTCCGTCTCCGATTGGACCAAGCCAAAAGGGTTGAGAGCCTAAAACGGAAACTCCACAAAACGTACAATACTAGTTCAAGAAAGCCCAGACTGGGATCTGAACCAGGTCCATCAGTTCTGTAATTCAGCATGATGCCAACTGAGCTAACAGAGCCCCAGGATAGAAATAAGCAAGAAATATGTAACTCATCATCAGTGAAACAAGAACCCACTTATTCACACCTTTATATGTTTTGGAAAGTCATTTTAAAGCCCCTTTCAACAAGGTAAATTATTTAAAGCCCCTTTCAACATGGCAAAATTATCTAAATATTCCTTCCAAAAGAGTCAATTTAAATGCAAAAATTTAATATCCATAAATAAGGGCTGAGCTTTTAAGAAATGAGTCAAAAAGTGCACTGTTGGGGGTTCAAAGTACCCCTCCCTACAGCCCAACAACACAGAAACTGAGCTGGCAGAACTCCTTTGAAAAGATGAGAGTGATATCATTGCAAAAGAAGAAAGCAGAGAATATGCAAATCTGCTTGTTTGTTCGAATAAGAAAAGCACATAGACATAATAATGGCAATTTAGTGTACAGAAAAAAAAAGATAGAATCAACAGGGGGAAACAGCATTGGTGCCCTCAAACAACCCGTGGAATTTTCTAAAGCTCAGAATGCAGATTAAACCACAGAAGCAAATCTTATGTCATACAGTGCTAATGAACAAGTTACAGTAAGGAAGAGCAAACTGCATTCAGAGGAGCCTAAACCATAAATGTAACAAAGAAGATAATGTATGGACATTTTCAAAGACTCTATACAGTATACAAATAAATGCAGGCTCTGAAAATTATAACCAAAACTACAACCTCATTTTGTTTTTCATGATAAAATTTTGCATGATGAGTTTCACTTAAAAACTTTATGAGACACAAAGTAGTTTGATGTAAATTTCAAAGACAAAATTACACGCTTCGGTCGTTTTGTGTTTTGCTCGTCAAGATTATCAATTGACACATCAGCATGAAAAAGAGCTAGACACATGACATATCAGAAACCATAACACGAAAAGGCACTGTAGGTACATTATAAGCTGCAAACCAAAGCGGAGGAGTTGCACCCTCTGAGGACAGCAGACTTAAACTAAAAGACAGCTCAGTAAGAAAGATCCAAGGAGTAGCAGTAAAAAGTTTCTGAAAGGCTGCAAAGAGAGTCAGGAGCCCCAAAGACGGGGGGGCAAAGGAGGTGAAGTGATGGGGGTAGAAAGTGGAGACAAAATCAGACAACAGAACATTGTTAGAGAGCAGGAAAGGACATGAAAGGAGAACATTTTACGGAAGAACATTTTCCGCCTTACTCCTGATTCGAACCCGGGACCAATTGAATGAGAGGCAAACAGCTTTAAAATAAAACCTCTTGGCCACGAGAACCCTCTACTTCCTTAATGAGCTATCATCCCAACAAAAATACGATTAGGAAGAGACCTAACCATAACACTTACCCAACCCCTACACATAATTACCCCTACCCCAAACTTGTGTTCCATCGTAATGGAATTCCTCCTTTAAAGTTCTTCGTGGATACAATGAAATGTATAAGATGTCAAACCTGCAGGGCGAATGGAGCATTTTATACTGATATCATAACAGCACCGAAACACAGTAGCTGCATACTTTGAGAGATTTTCCACCACATATCCCAGTGTTAGGGAATCAGAAAATTGGGGTGCAACAAAACAATAATTGTGAAAGACAGGGACCAATTTGTATACTTATCATTCCCTAAAAAGAGTAGTGATTTTCACTTTAAAAACAAAGTTCAGCCTTGACTAATTTTTTCCCCAATTCCTTCTGTTTTCTAAATCCTCTATACCTTTTGGTATCTTCTCACCCACAGTTTAACTTACTTAACCACACACACACACACACACACAGACCCACACACAAACACACACATACACAAAAATAAATCAAGTTCGGTGCAGTAGAAGGCGTGTAGGCTGGATAGGTGTGAAATTAGAATACAGGTAGGCCTACGTATAATATAAATGCAGTGGTTACTGTAGTTTAACAGCAAAATTTATGCCAAAGCACGCGCTCACACGCACACACACACACACACACACACACAGTAGGCAAGTATGAGGCATGAATGCAGGATGAACATATATTTGAGTAGGCCTAGGAAAGGATAAAGACTTTATAAATTATTACCAGTGTGTGTATAACGTTTTGTCTTAAAAATATGTTCAAAGAAATCAACTACAAAGGAAACTCTCGTTCACACAATTATTCATATGATTTCAAGAAACAATGGGTGGGGTTCAGATCACTTGATTTTAAGCTTTGTAGTTTATACTGAGTAGCAAGGAAAACGATCAAGGAAGAATGAAGAGGATCAGATCTCATTTTATTCCATCTAATACAAACTGATCAATAAAAAAATAATGTCGAAGAAAATCACGTAGCTGGTTCTTGGCTTACATGCATATAGACCTACCATTGCTTAATAAATAACCAGTCAGTAAGAAATCAGTGTTGACACTGTTGAAAGATGCCTTTATTCTTTATTCTTCCTAAAAACAGGCAACGATTTCCATGCCCTGGGTGGGCTTGGTCGGGTGTGTGGCAGTGGTAGCGACACCGGGATTCCATGACGTGACAGCTATGGCATGGAATCTGAGACCAACATTTACATTCAACACAGAAAGAACACAGCAATTTCCAGTACTCACCAACGAAAAGCTCAAATTCCTAAGAATGTTTGAGGGTGCATATATGCTAGAGGGATAATGCTAAAAACTACTGCTGCTTTCTCAAAACGTTTCGAAAAAAAAAGATCTCTGCAACACTAACGAAAGGTGCTTGATTATCCTCTCCAACCGGCTTCCTTGCTACCACACCTTTGGTGTGCTTCGTTCGAGTATTCTTCAGAACTTTATTCCGTGCTGAATAATAATAGAAGGCTGTGCCTTAGTGCTATTTTGGAATATTTCCATACCCTACCATTGTACAATACCTGCAAAACCGGTTTCCCAAGAATCAGCCATCTTCAAACAATACGCCATGTGAAAAGTTATAAATAACTAGCCAATGAAAACAGCGAAAATTCCCATTGAGGGGCGAGGAGCTCGCTATCCGCTGCTTCGTACGAACATTCAGACCAGTTGTGGCGTCCTTCGTTACGAGCCACGCCTCCACATTGTTGGTAATTTTTTTGTGTCACGCACGAGTTTAAAATATTTTGGAAAAGGTCGATTTGAATGAAAGCCCACGGTAGCCTACAGAGTGTTAGTAAGCTATGGAAGTATTCCGTCATCTTACAATTCCATTCCCTGAAAGATACTTGAAGAGAAGAAAGACTAGATTTATAATAGTTGTTGTTTTGTTGTTGTTTTTTGCTTGTTTTTAAAAATGATTAATTTTGTCAAGATGTATATTATATAATACAGTTATAAAATTAAGGGGTGGATTTGGTTCAATACCAACACTATTACAATGCAAGCTCAAGCACGATTGGCTTACTGCTGTAGTTCAAATGGGTAGAAGTGAGTATAGGCGTATTTTAAATAGCATGGTAAATTAAGGCATACCAGCTTGAGGCTTTATACGACGGTTGTCTCAAAGACAAATATAGGCTAGCTATCATTATTATAGGCTTCTCACAATTCTAGATTGATTACTATTTTGATTTTATGTTTCTTGACATAGAACGTGGCAAAATCCCAAAAGATATTATAAGCAAAGAGTGGAAATGAAACAAACATAAAAATCAAACAATTTAAATCAGATAAAATGCTAAACTTGTGTTGTTCACTTGGTGATCTTGGATTGCAATCTATGCATATTCGATAGCGCCTCTATCTATCTATCCATCTATCCATCTATCCATCTATCTATCTATCTATCTATCTATCTATCCAACTACCTATCTATCTATCTATCTGTCTGTCTGTCTATCTATCTATCTATCTATCTATCTATCTATCTATCTATCTATCTATCTATCTATCTATCTA